CTTCTTCTCTCTTTCTCTCTCTCTCTCTCTGTCTCTCTCTCTCTGTCTCTCTCTCTCTCTCTCTCTCTCTCTCTCTCTCTCTCTCTCTCTCTCTCTCTCTCTCTCTCTCTCTCTCTCTCTCTCTCTCTCTCTTCCTCTCTCTCCCTCCTCTCTCTCTCTCTCTCTCTCTCTCTCTCTCTCTCTCTCTCTCTCTCTCTCTCTCTCTCTCTCTCTCTCTCTCTCTCTCTCTCTCTCTCTCTTCCTCTTCCTCTTTCTCTTTTTCTTTCTCTTCTTCTCCCTCTCCCTCTCCCTCTTCCTCTCCCTCTTCCTCTCCCTCTCCCACACGTCTCCACGAATCCTCCTCTCCGTCCATTTTTCTCCCTCCTATTCTCCCTTACCTCTTCCACTCTCTTTCTCTCTCCTCCGTTTCCTCGCTCGTTTATCTCTGACTAAGACTTCAAGGATAACACTGCTGGCAGCTGGCTCTCGGCTTTTGCTTCTTTTAACCACGATTTCGTCTTGTATTAATCAAGAGAGTAATGATAATGGTAAATGTGACTGTGATGGTAATGGTGATGATGATTACTAAAGAGATATTGGCAAAATATTAATAGCAATTATAGTCTCGGTTGTGATTATATTAATGGGAATCATAATGTTTACAACAATAATGGTAGTAATACTGATGATAGCCATAAGACAATCAATATCATTACTACCATCATCATTATGCTCGTAATCATCATCATTATCATAATAGTTATGTTCATACCGATAATAATAATAACAATAACATTAATGATTGTGTTATTAATAATATGATACTTATGAGTGATCGTGATATTCATAAACATAACATAATGATAACTATAATGCCTGCTATAGTGAAAATGATAATGACCAGAGTGATTGTGATGATAATACCAAATATAATAACCACACGGTGATGATGATAATGGTAGTAATAATAATAGTATTGATATTAATAATAATGATGAAATAATTATAATCAATGATGATAACAGTACTAATAGTAACATTCATCATAATGATAGCAATGACAATGATAATAATAATCATAATGATCACAATGATAATAATGATAATGGTAATAATGATGATATTAGTATTAAAAATTATAATAATAGAAACAATAATACTAATGATAATGATAATGATAATAATAATAATGAAAATGATAATGGTACTGATAATGATAATAATAATAACAATAATGTTAATAATAATAATAATGATAATAATGATAATAATAATAATGATAATGATAATAATAATAATAATAATAATGATAGAGATAATAATGAAAACAACAATTGTTGATGATGATAACATTAATAATAATGATAATAAAGAAATTATAATTATGATTTTATTGCCAGGAATGATCATGGTAAAGATAATGATAATGATAATGCATTAATGATAATAATGATAATAATGTTAATAATAATAATAATGATAATAATAATAATAATAATAATAATAATAATAATAATAATAATAATAATAATAATAATGATAATAACAATATTAATAGTAATAATAGTAATGGTAATAATAATAATAATAATAACAATAATAATAATGATAGAGATAATAATGAAAATAACAATAGTTGTTATGACGATAACATTATTAATAATAATAAAGAAACTATAATTATGATTTTATTGCCAGGAATGATCATGGTAAAGATAATGATAATGATAATGCATTAATGATCGTATTAACAATAATCATAATAATAATAATAGTAATAGTGATGATAATAATAATAATAATAATGATAGTATTACAATTATTAACAATAATAATAAAGAAAATAAAATAGTTATAATAAGAATAGTGATGATGAAAATAATAATGATAATGATAATAATGATAATAATAGTAATAGTGATGATAATAATAATAATGATAATGATAATAATAATAATAATAATAATAATGATAATGATAATAATAATAATAATAATAATAATGATAATGATAATGCATTAATGATCGTATTAACAATAATCATAATAATAATAATAATAGTAATAGTGATGATAATAATAATAATAATAGTAATAGTGATGATAATAATAATAATAATGATAGTATTACAATTATTAACAATAATCATAATAATAATAATAATGATAATGATAATGCATTAATGATCGTATTAACAATAATCATAATAATAATAATAATGATAATAATAATAATGATAATGATAATGCATTAATGATCGTATTAACAATAATCATAATAATAATAATGATAATAGTAATAATGATGATGACAATAAGAATAATGATAATAGTAATAGTGATGATAATAATAATAATGATTATGATAATGCATTAATGATCGTATTAACAATAATCATAATAATAATAATAATAATGATAGTATTACAATTATTAACAATAATAATAAAGAAACTATAATTATGATTTTATTGCCAGGAATGATCATGGTAAAGATAATGATAATGATAATGCATTAATGATCGTATTAACAATAATCATAATAATAATAATAATGATAATGATAATGCATTAATGATCGTATTAACAATAATCATAATAATAATAATAGTAATAGTGATGATAATAATAATAATGATAATGATAATGCATTAATGATCGTATTAACAATAATCATAATAATAATAATAATGATAATGATAATGCATTAATGATCGTATTAACAATAATCATAATAATAATAATAATGATAATGATAATGCATTAATGATCGTATTAACAATAATCATAATAATAATAATAGTAATAGTGATGATAATAATAATAATGATAATGATAATGCATTAATGATCGTATTAACAATAATCATAATAATAATAATAATGATAATGATAATGCATTAATGATCGTATTAACAATAATCATAATAATAATAATAGTAATAGTGATGATAATAATGATAATAGTAATAATGATGATGACAATAAGAATAATGATAATAGTAATAGTGATGATAATAATAATAATGATTATGATAATGCATTAATGATCGTATTAACAATAATCATAATAATAATAATAGTAATAGTGATGATAATAATAATAATGATAATGATAATGCATTAATGATCGTATTAACAATAATCATAATAATAATAATAATGATAATGATAATGCATTAATGATCGTATTAACAATAATCATAATAATAATAATAATGATAATGATAATGCATTAATGATCGTATTAACAATAATCATAATAATAATAATAGTAATAGTGATGATAATAATAATAATGATAATGATAATGCATTAATGATCGTATTAACAATAATCATAATAATAATAATAATAATGATAATGATAATGCATTAATGATCGTATTAACAATAATCATAATAATAATAATAATGATAATGATAATGCATTAATGATCGTATTAACAATAATCATAATAATAATAATAATGATAATAATAATAATGATAATGATAATGCATTAATGATCGTATTAACAATAATCATAATAATAATAATAGTAATAGTGATGATAATAATAATAATGATAATGATAATGCATTAATGATCGTATTAACAATAATCATAATAATAATGATAATAGTAATAATGATGATGACAATAAGAATAATGATAATAGTAATAGTGATGATAATAATAATAATGATTATGATAATGCATTAATGATCGTATTAACAATAATCATAATAATAATAATAATGATAATGATAATGCATTAATGATCGTATTAACAATAATCATAATAATAATAATAATGATAATGATAATGCATTAATGATCGTATTAACAATAATCATAATAATAATAATAATGATAATGATAATGCATTAATGATCGTATTAACAATAATCATAATAATAATAATAATAGTAATAGTGATGATAATAATAATAATGATAATGATAATGCATTAATGATCGTATTAACAATAATCATAATAATAATAATAATGATAGTATTACAATTATTAACAATAATAATAAAGAAAATAAAATAGTTATAATAAAAATAGTGATGATGAAAATAATAATGATAATGATAATGCATTAATGATCGTATTAACAATAATCATAATAATAATAATAGTAATAGTGATGATAATAATAATAATAGTAATAGTGATGATAATAATAATAATAGTAATAGTGATGATAATAATAATAATAGTAATAGTGATGATAATAATAATAATAGTAATAGTGATGATAATAATAATAATAGTAATAGTGATGATAATAATAATAATAGTAATAGTGATGATAATAATAATAATAGTAATAGTGATGATAATAATAATAATGATAGAGATAATAATGAGGTGGCGGAAGCAGCAGCAGCGGCGGCGGCGGCGGCGGCTGTCAGCCCAGTGTCCCCCCTGCTGCCCGAGAGCGTCACCTTCAGCATGCAGAGCGACGACCCCCGCCTGTACGACGAGGATGATTACGCCGACGCCACCCTCCGCCAGCCCACCGCCCCCACCCACCTCCAGCCTCACCCCGAACATGGCCCGGAGATTGCCTATGCTCATGGCCACAGCGCTCTTGCTGGCCCTGGACTTCTGACTGAACGGGAGAAGCCCCTGGAGGCCGGCCATGTGCCTAGGAGACTCTCCTCTCACGGACCCGACCGCATCCAGATGCGCGGGGTGAGTTTCGGCCACAGCGCAGGCTCCTCCCACAGCCGCTCCGGCAGCAGCAGCAACCTCAGCAGGCATCAAGGACACGCCCTCAATCAGGAATACAGCCACCAAGCGACGGCCGTTCCCTTCAGCGCACAGGAAGAAGTCGCGGCCGAGGCGAACCACCGCCTCCACCCGACCCCCGCCACGCCCGAGGTCCAGCACAGGGGCGGTTGGGGCGAGAGAAGCCACTCCGGCGAGAGGCAGGAGCCCATGCCCTCCGCGGAGGAAGGCCGCGGCCACAGACAGCGCGGAGGCAGCAGGGAGCGGCGCCAGCGGAAGAAGCAGACGCACCACCACCACC